AATCAGTGGTCAAACTTATTCCTGAGAATTCTAGATTTAAGAGTCTAGGTCAGGGCTCAGGCATCAGTACTTCTAAAACTACCCAGTGTAGGGACCAATGGCAGGCTACTCCAAGATGTGCCATTGTGATATGCCATTATTTTGAGCTGAAAAACCATCAAGGCCCAAACGACTCAGGAGAATACTGTCACCTCCCCCTCCACCCACACAACTGCATAGAAATAACTCAGATGGAGGAACTGCTCCCAGAGGAGAGTGCTCACCACAGCTAGACTGTAATGCAAACCAGGGGTGGTAGACTGGGAAGGACGCAACAAAGTCTGTTAAAATTCCTCTCTGTGCCCCCCATTGTTTCTGTGTGGCCCATCAAGTATTTTGTTTATTCAACATTTATTCTTTTCATAGTCCTATGAATTATTTCCCTTTTCCTTTAAAGTCTGAGACCCCCTGCTCCCTTCTCCTTGATTCAGGATGACATACATACCTCACTGTCCTTGACTGTCTTTGGAACCCATGTCTATGATTTTCTCATATGCATGTGATTAAACTTCAGTTTTTTCTCCTGTTAATCTATCTGATGTCAATTTGATTCTTAGACCAACTAGAAGAACCTTGAGGGGTAGAAGAAATTTCTTCCTCCCCAACACCAGTTAGTTCTACTATATGGTCAGCATTGAGAAACACAAGTAGGGGCCTCTCAGCACCCCTGTAGGGGCTGGCTGATGACTGGTCTACACCTAGCCTTTGAAAGCAGGACTAGCCTCTGTGGACTAAGTAAACTCCAGGGGCTATAGGGCAATTCATGGGGTGGGAGAGATGAGCCTCATAATTTCTCCCACCTGTCACCCTATATCCTTCTAAGACTTCCCTTGCCCTTCTCCTCCTTCCCCATACAAATCAGCTTTGTAAATCTACCCTGTGGGCCACCACCCAGGGACTCATCAGCAATGCCTAGGCTTCTAAACCCTAGTAGCAAGGGCCTCCCATAGTAAAAGCCAAATGTCCAAGACTTCAGCTGCCAGTGCCTCTGGCCAGAGCATCACCTCATGGTTGGAGAGCTAGAGGCTTACAACTGCAGGAAATTGGGGCCCACAGCTTCAATCTGGCACCTAGACCCACGGCCTGCAAGGAAGGGTGCATAGTGAGGGAGGCCTCATGTTTCCAAGGACCCTGGAGAAGAATGAGCAAGATGATTTTGGCTGAGGAGCCTGAGCAAATGCAGTGTAAAAGCTCTGTGACTGTGGCCTGGGGAATCATTGGAAAGAGTATTTATGGCTGTATTTTTCATAGAGCTTGGCTAGAAGGCTTCAGAAATGAAAGATTTTTTGGCATCAGAAGCCTTGTGCCAACCAGCATGTCTCTAAATTAAGTTGTGAAGCAGACAGGCTCTGAGTTACTGGACACTAATTTTATGCCTCAGCATGAAAATTCAAGCTTCTTAGAATGAGTTCCTTGCAATTAGATATTTAAAAATATCTAATGAATACCAATGAAGAAAGGAAAGATGAAGTGATGTCTACTCAAGTAGCTGGTTAACAGCAGAGAAAGGGAGTGCAGAGTTCATTTGTGGGGCAGTCCATAACAGAGATCCCCTTCCCCTTTCTAGGTCAGAGCCACCCTGAACCACTTCCAGTTTTCTGGAAGAACTTCCCAGAGTCCTTAAGCAGTCAGGTCACATTTGAGACTATAACGGAGTGCGGAGAGCATCAAGTCAGGAAAAAGAACTAATGACACTTAACCTGACTGCCTAGAGCGAGAGCCACCCAGTCTTTTCTTGTGTAAATTACCCGAGGCTTCTGAGAAATGCGCCTACCCTAAGTTAGATAACTAGAAGTGGGCAACAGCCAGGGAACGCCTGGGGATGTAACCCGTGATAAGTCACATAGACATGCTTGGGTAAGCAAGAGATAACAATTGAAGCGGGCAGGCAACTGGCGCGTTCCCTAAAAAGGTTACAATGTTTCCCATTGGTTACAATACAGAGTGTGTTTTAAACCTATTAGTTGTAGAACTGCACGGGCTTTGATGTAACTGCTGTGAAGATCCTATATAATCAATACCCAAAGTAGCTTCGGGGTTGGCAGCTCGGACTCGGCCTGCGTGTCAGGGGAGGTGCTGTCAACCCCAGCTTGCTGGCTGAATAAAGACTTTGCTTGGATTTTCATCTCCGTGTCCGTGTGTCTTGTTCTCTGGGAAACCCCGGAGTCCTAGACCCTAACAAGACATCACCATACTGCTCTCGAATCACCTCATCTTTGCCTCAGACCCCAAACATAAAGCCAGACCCTGTTCCTGTCCCTCTGGCCACCTCGTCCTCACAGTGCAACCTTCTTTCAGCCCTGCCAGTGTCCCTTAACCCCCTGGCAGAGTTTCACTTCTGTCCTTCATCATGTTTTCTTTCTCCCTTCTCTTTCTCTTCTTCCCTTTTCTTCTCCACTTTAGTCCCCAATTACAGTCATTTTGTGCCAGCCTCATGATTTTTGCATATCCTAAAGGAACTTAATTTTTTGGCCATTGACCAGTGTTTGTTTTTATCCTGACTCCCTTTCAAAAACCTAAATAAAATTACTTTTAAAAGAAGCTTTACATCCATGGGGAAGCCAGTAGCTCTTGTTATAAATAGGACAAAATGAGAAAACAGTAAAATACGTACAAGGTAAAAAGGACAATGGCATGAAATTCTAGCTGGGTACTGCTGGTGAAGGAAGGCTCTGAGTCAGAGGCCTGCCTGCCCTTGGTTAAGAGAGGAGATAGGAAATGTTACAAGAGTTGTTGAGGACAGACTAGCCCCAAACCAACTTTCCCCTTGTCAGAGAGACAAAGGGGTAGCCTTGCCACTGTGCTATTACTCAGCACTGTGTAGCCCAGGGAATCGTGGCAGGAAGACTGCTCCAGCTGTGCTCTGGACCCTACCCTTTGTCCTCTCTCTCTCACTTCTTCCTCGTGGTCCTGTTCATCCCGCATTTCCCCCCATCTCCTTCCTTCTCCCCTCTCTTTTTAGTGGGGTAAGCAGATACTTCTGCTCTCTTCAAAACTAAGCACCCATGAGAAAAAAGACAGAGAAAAGAATTCAACCCTAGGAAAGATGAGTGTAGGAGGCTCCTAGCCAATCTGTCTCCCCGCCCCTTGTAAGCCTTGCTGTGAAGGTTGGCCCTCGGCCTCTCCTCCCAGCTGGCCTCCTGCTCTCAGAAGCAGGGAGGACTTCCCCTGTCACATGGATTTAGGGCAGTGTCAAGAGTAACGCCTGTCAGTGAGTGGGGATGCAGGGCTGAGGTCAGCCACCGCGCAAGCGCTGGACACACTCTCCCCCCAGGCAAACCCAGAGAAGAGCAGCTCTGGTTGGGTTCATCTGGACACAGGCACAGATCCATCCAGAAGCAACTCACTACCCCCGCAGCGGGACGGCTGGGCCTAGTGGACGAGGAAGGACATAGGGGTAAGGTAAAACCAGGACTCGGTAAAAATATGAAACAATGAACTTATTTTACTCAAATGATGTGACAGAACCAGGCAGATAGATACAACTGGTTTAAAAGATAAGTCCAAACAGCACAAATTTACAAACAGTAAAGGAATGTTGAGATGAATTGCAAATGAAGACAGAAGTAGTGTTTCTCCTGCCAGTGGGGTCGGGGTGGGAAGATGTCAGATCTCTACCAGATAGGACATAATTTATGTATCTATCGATAATCTACAATTTACAGAATTGCAAAATAGCTTAAAGACAATAAACAGGACTTGAATGTCATAGCCCTGGCAGGTGTCCTGTAGATGAGTCTTCCACTGAAACCCAAAATTGTTTATGTATAAAGGTCTTAACCCAGGGGAGACTCCACTCATTTACTGTCGCTTCCTGAACACCAGCTCCTTTGTGTGTACACCACGTCCACCACGTCCCCACCGACCCTCCACCTGGCAGGTGAGGCTGGAAGCAGGTGCTCATTTGAGAAGAGGGGAACTTGGGCTCCCCATGTGACTTGTCACTAACAGCAGAAACAGCATCCTCACCCTCTAGGTCTCTTCGTTAAAAGGAGGGCTAACAGCTAAGGGTACTCTCTCAAGTTCTTCCAGCTCTGAAGTTCTAGAATCCTAGAGTAAACAGCTGATGTTCATAAACCAACCCAAGGGTTTACAGCAAGTACATGAGTGGCAACCCACTGGGTGGCTCCTGGCCCTACCAGGTCTGACACTGCACTGGGGTAAATACCATGTAAGATAATATATTTAGGGTTATTCCTTTGCCTGTTGGCTATTGTTATCCAAGCCCCACCCACTCCACTCTAACAGCTTAGGCCCCTGATCAATACTTTTGATTAATTGATTGAGAAGATCTCCCTTTTCAGGTGGTTTTCTGAGAGTAAGAACTCCTTGTGCGATCTCTCTGCCTGCTTCAGCTTCGGTGTTTTCCTCCTGCTGAGGGCCAAACGACTCTAAACGTGGTGTGAACTGGGAGACATCCAGAGAAGGCTCGGGGAGGCTGCGAGGCCAGCGGGAACTGCACAACTGCGCGAGCCACGCGCCACCCCAGGGATGGCCAGGGCCTGTGCCACTTAGGGGGCGCATCCAGCAGGGCCCAACAGGGCTCTTCATTACGTCCCCACAGCGCCAGACCGGCAGAAAAACGGGTGAGTCACCCTGGGGAGGGGCTGGAGGCCCAAAGCCCAAAAGGCCGAAATTAACAAGACGACGCTCCTGCAGGCCTGAGCTGGGAGTGTAGGGCCTGGCGGAAGCGCCCCCAAAACAAAGTTTGTACTGGTTCTTCCCAGCCTGGGAGTGTCCTGGCCTGAGGGGACGGAGTAGGAGGAGCCAAACAGGAGCAGGAGAAAAAGAACCTAGTTTCCAGTGGCTTCAGTGCTCAATCCTCCCTGAGACTGCCAGGGAAGATGCCAATGAAAGACCAGCTGTGTGGCCAGAGTGTTTTCCTGGGACGTCTGCCCGGGGAACTGGATAGGAACCCAGAAGCCAGGGAGCCAGCCCCATACTATAGTAACACCTTTTGCTCGCTACTGACCCCTCCTGGGGTAATGGACACAGCTAGTGGGGGGCTGAGAGAAAAACACTTGACCTGGACAAGACTATTGGGTTCTTAAATCCAACGCCCGTTGGAGGATGTATCCTGCCTTAAACTCAGGCCACAGATTCAGAGGCTCAAACCTGGGCAATTCTCTTTCCCCAAGGGAAACCTTTCACACCAAACTTCTCTTTTGCCTGAACCTCCCTAACATTTTGTCCTGGGGAAAGGGAGCAAGGCATTGAGGCCCCTTAGGAGAATGAAATGAATGTGTTAGCAATGTCATCCTAGCAGCACAGCAAAGGGTGGATCTGCAGGCAAGGCTAGGGTCGGCCCGGGGCCCTTAACAGTTAGTTTATTGATGCCCTACTAGGTGCTGACTCCTGCTGGGGGCTGCAGCACTATGGCCATTGAAAGACCTGGTGCTGGAGGACAAGGACAGCGGGTGGAGAGAAGATGAGGCCTCCTGGTGGGTAGGGTGGGGTATATGCCGTAGATGGAGAGGGCACTCGGGCCACCCTCCTCGCCCTTCACACCCTGCGGTCCCCTGGCGGGTTGACTTTGCTGACAAAGTAAGTGTGCACATTCTTCTAACAAAATGGGATTACTAGAAAAGAGAATGAATTTTGATTTGAATATATTGAGAGATGGGTTAATCGTAGTGGCTGAGAAGGAAGACTTTGGCACAGTCTATTCAAAGGCCAGCTTGGACATAGGATACCTTGTGGCCTAACATAAGATGTTTTGCCTCTCAGCCTCAGTTTCTTTATCTGTCAAGAGAAAATACACAATTTCCTCATGAATTTGTTCCTTGTTTTTAATGATTAAATAATTGAAATTACTTCAGGCCTAGCAGTTTAGGAAATAAAAGCTTGGGAATACAAAAAAGATGAGTAATAGGCAATAAAAATTACTGCATTGTTTCTATGAGCCAGACACTGTACTAAGCATTCTACATAATCCCATGTAATCTTTCCAACTGCCCCATAAGGCAAATACATTATGATTTCTGGATTATAGTTGAGGAAATTAAAGCACAGAGAGCTTAAGATACCTGACCAAAATCACACAGCTGACAAGTGGTAGAGCCAGGATTCAAAGTTAGATCTGTCTGACTGCAAAACCATGGACCTTTACAATCACACTGATGGCTTTACAGCACATACAGGTCAAAGCATAGAAGGTCTTGGCCTGAGCTATAGATTAAGGAGTTGACAGGATATGGTAATAGTTGAAACCATGATTATAGATGGAATCATCTAAAAGAAGGGTACCCAGTTGGAAGGAGAGAAGGAAACACCAACATTTACAGCACAGAGAGCAAGAGAAGCCCTAAACAGAGAGAGAATAGGAACAGCCAAAGGAGTAGGAGAAGGTGAGGTCAAGGGGCAGGGCAGGCCTGGGGGGTCAACAGGAGCACACTGAGCAGCTATGGCTTGAGAAGAGTCCAGAAATGTGTCCTTGGAGAGCTTGGCAAGAGCACTGCCGGGACAGAAGCCAGGTTGAAGGGGGAGTGAGGAACACACAGCAAAGGAGACTTGTACCATCATGAGGGAGGGAGCGTGCGCCACAGCTGGAGGCAGGTGCCAAGGAGAGGAGGGGTGGCCTCTGGGTTTCTGATGAGTGCACTGGCTGGAGAATGTCTTCCTCGGCAGCAGGACGGGAAGTTCTGAGCAAGAATCCAGGAAGATGAAGGGCAGTTATGGCCCAAAGCTTGTCCTTTCTCTGTGAAATTGGAAGTCAGCTGCAGAGGGAATGCAGCAGGAGCTGGCTAGGCAGTTTGAGAGGTATGGTGAAGTTCTGAAACGAGTTAATCTGCTGCCACCACCATCACTGGCCATTTTCATCCAGCCTGTCAGGTTGGTGTCTTTGGTGGGAGAGAAATGAACAGGGATCTTTGGACCTGCCCGCAGAGACCTCCCTGCACAATCTGCCTTTCCTGCTGGGAGAGTGGGAGCAGGAGAGCTGGGTCGGGAGGTCCTTTTATTCTTGAGGGTGGCAGCAGGTGGTGTGGATTTCCTCTTGATTATTTTGCGTTTCCAGAGCCTGAAAGATCCTGAGGATTCTAGATCCACTCTCACCTTCATGAATAGGACTTCTTTCAGTGACTAGCGTGGGCCTGGCCTGGCCTGGCTCATTGGTTTTGAGAGTTCATCAGTGTGCGGACATTCCCAAGGGCCTATTGCTGGTTGCGCCAGAACAAGCAGAGGAGGGACTCGCCTGCAGGAAGTCACAGTGTAGCCGAGTCTCGGGTTAAGAACACCTGCGACAAGTAGCTAGTGGTGAGACAGCAATGATCTGTGCAGCTGATGGCTCGTCTTCCCAGTACCACCTGCCTCCAAATTCCCTTAAGACTGCACAGGCACCTCACCACCCCTTGCTGGGGTGGCGCCACCAGCAGGAGAGGAAGTGTGCTTCTCAGGGGTACAGGGTTGTAGAGGGAGAACCGGGGAGCTAAAAGGCGGTGACCTCCCTTCCAACGACACAACTGAGAGAAGAATTTAGACGGAGGCACTTCTCCAGGAGAGCTCGCACCATGGAAGCTATGTTACAATGTAAACTAGGTGCGCGTAGACAGGGAGGGACTGGCTAAGTCTGTTTAAAATTCCTCCCTGCTCCATTGTCTCCGTATGGTCCATCAGGTATTTTGTTTACAAAACATTTATCTTTCAATATTCCTGTGAGTTACTTCCCTTTCCGTTTTCAGTCTGTGACCCCTGACTCATCTCCTTGGTTCAGGATGACCTAGACCTCACTGTCCCTGACTTGGGAACCCATGTCTTTGACTTCCCTGTATGTACAAAGTTGAATTAAACTTTGGGGTTTGTTTCTCCTGTTAATCTGTCTGATGTCGATGTGATTCTTAGACCAGCTAGAAGAATCTCGAGGGGTAGAGGAAATTTCTTCCTCCCCAAAGCACTTTGATGTATTGACTATTTTAAGCTGAAGGAGTTTGAGAAAACTGCAGAAGCAGGAAGATCACTCTGAAACTCCCCCTTCTTCCCTGAAACAAGTAATCAAACCTTCATGTGAGAGGTGGTCTCCTTATATCCGGAGGAAAGGAGCACCCTTATCTCTGAAGAAAGGGACACCAAGAAGAACCCTACAACCCAGCCTAAGCTTCGCCAGGTCACTGTAACTGCCTCCTACCCCTTAGCCTATCCTAGCCTCCACGACTGCCCACTCTTCAGCAAACCTAGCTATGCCGGGGTTCTTGTTTGCAGAGTTGAGGAAGGGACTTCGAACACTCAGGGTAGGAGAGCAAGGCAGAGGTTTTTATTTAGAGAGAAAGCGAAAGGACAGAGCTCCTGGCTCAGGCCTGGAGGGGACAAGAGAGTCCCCGGGTGGTGGGTCATCTAGGGCTTTTATAGGCAGTTGAGAGGCAAAGGGCTAGGGATGTACACCTGCTAAGCGGTCCCAAAATGTTTATCTTTGAAGAGATATTTTCTTATTAGTAGTCCTGGTTATTTATGACAAATATACTGTTCTGATTTTCTCCTACAGTAGCAGCTTCCTGGTCTGAGAGCATATCACTCAAGACTACCTGCTTTGCTCTTAAGGTGAGCTGAGTTAGTATCTGTTCCTTAAAGAGTGTGTTAAGAAAGTTACTTTTTAACAAATTGGGTTTTAAAAATGCAATCTTATTTTCAAGATGGAATCCTTCCTGTTTGTTTTGGGCTTGCTTGTTAAATTGCCCAGGTGGCAAATCACTTGACTAGGGCTGGAGGAAGAAAAGCAGCACCTGGATAAAGTCAGAAAAATAAGATGGGCTCCCCAACAGGCCAAAGCAAATCCCACAATGGATTATCTTTTGATTTTTCAGGGGGCCCTCACCCTACTCTAAGCCCATGGTCTCCGTCTCACTAATATAAAATACTCAGGTCTGCCTCTTTGGATCTTCACTTCCTAATGAAGGCTCCCATGCTGTAAAACTTACATTAAATAAATCTGTGTACTTTTCTCCTGTTAATCTGCCTTGTCAGTTCATTTTCAGACCTGTCCAAAGACCCTGAAGGGGCTAAGGAAAATGCTTTCCTCCCCTACAGTTAGATGAGCCCCTTTTCCCAACACATCCCCCCTCCCTTTTCCTTTTGGCTAGTGCAGGCCAGGTGCCCACCCTGTGCTGTTAAGGGAGCCCTAGAACAAAATATCCAGAACTTACCCAGGGAGGCCTGAAGTGATTCAGGAGGGCAGCCTTGAAGGGTGGAGGAGAGAGAGCAGCCCAGGTGAGGAGGACAAGAAAGAAGGCTCTAGACAGACATGAGTGGGTACCATGGCCAGACAGGCAGCAGGGTGGGTCTGGAGTGGGGCGGAGGTTGGGGGCCAGCCTGGCAGAGTGCCTGAGTGAGCCTGCTCTCCAGGGGTCCCGGGAGGGGAGCTGGGCTTCTGTTGATGGAGGCGGGGCCTGTGGCAGCCTGGCCTCCAACTCAGCAGGAGGCCGGCAGCTGGCTGTCTGGCGCTGTCCTGTGGCATACTCCCTCTCTGCACAGTAATCCTTCCCACTTTTTAAAGCAGAGCTGGGACAGCACACTCAGATTACACCCTGACTAACCAATGATCCATCCTATGGCTGGCTCAATTTCATATTTGTATTTTGCCCACATCCCCTCCAACCATTCTATTTACTTCTAACCCTCCGTTTTTCTTACTTCCTGTTTTTAAAATGTCTGAAAACTAGCTCACTGCTGAGATCCTTGTTCTGGGAGGAAGAGCAGAAGCTGAAGGACCCTAAATTTGTATCAGACATACCAACCAGGAGCTTCTGAATTTCAAACCAGACAAGAGCAAGGTTCTGGATGTTCTCATGGCAACCCTGATTGGCATCCCAGAAGAAGCCTTCTGGATCTCCAACTGGATACTCAGTGGCTTCCACTGGGCAATGTTTGCATCAAAGGCCTGTTCGCCTGCCACTTGAGAGATGCGCTGGGGCCTGAGAGAGAGCCCTCCTCCCCCTCCCTGCCCCACCCAACCTCTGACTCCTCCCGACCATGCTCCTTCCTGCGACACCAAGGTGGGGCCCAGCTGCCCTCCCCACTGAGCCTTAAGTGACTCAGTGGAAGTCAGTAGCCACTTCCCCCCACACCCACACTTACATTCCAGTGGCCAGCTCACTCACTTTTTGGCACTGGACCCCACACCCACCAGGCCTCTGCTTAGAGTAAATAATCATCTCTTTTATAGGACGATTTACGACCAGGGCCGGCCCCATATTAGAAGGGGTCACGTGTAGCTTAGCCTCTAAGTGCATGTCTTTTATTTCTACAGCTTAATAGCTGATCTCTGTGAATCTTCCTTTTGACCTCTCGCTGACCTGGAACATTTTGTTTAAGGGAACTAGAGACTTATTGTTCAGGGTCATACCTAGCAGAGTGCTGGCTCAACATGTGTTTGATGGAAAGGTTTTTTTTAAAAAGAGAGATTAGTAAATGGAAAGTAATTTAGGGGGTCCTTAGGCTTCCTTTATCCCTAACAGATCTTACCACCTCCACAAGGGCTTGTTGGGGCCAAGTTAAAAGAGGAGTTGGTGATAACTGGGCTGAGGCTCCTGCTCAGCCACACTGAGGTCTCTAGGGCATCAGGACCCACCGAATCCCCTGTCCCTCACCTATATCCTGGGGAGGATCATATTCTATCTATTCTAGGATGCACAGTTTTCACCTGCTAAAATATCTCTGAAACTGCGGTATGTCTTCCAGGCAATGCAGGAATAGGGGATTGGGTGCTGTTTACTCTTGCGCCCCTCCCTCCAGGAGGAGCCTCCATCCCATCTGCTGAACTCAGGGGTGGCCATGTGACTTGCTCTGGCCAATGGACTATGTAGGGAAGTGACATGTATCACTTTCAGACTGAAGCTTTAAAAGGCAGCCACAGCTCACCTTCAACAGGCAGTAGTTCCAGATGGAGGCTACCCCATGGACGTGGGTCCTACAGTGAAGAAGATGAGGAACTAAGTCATAGCCAACAGGCATTGAAGAGGAGAGAAACAAACCTTTCTTCTTTAGCCGTTAAACTTTGGGGCCCTATTTTGACAACACAATCTAGCATATCCTGACTGGTACTGCATCTTTCAGTTAACTGACAGATTTTTTTCTTGGCAGTACATAATGGTGCCACTCACTATCAGTGTGATTGTATTGTCAACACAGTGAAACACAGTATACCTCTCACATACTGAATGAGTTGATCCATATAAATCACATAGCACAATGCCTTGCCTACAGTGAGTGTCCAATCCATGTTAGCCATTGTGTATTTGCAGCCCTGTGTACATACCCAGTGTTCGTTACGAGTTTAGGGTAATGACCTGATGACACAGAAAGTTGGCAGCCCTGCCAGATGCCTTGTGGAATGAGAAAGGGTATAAATAAGCTCAAGTAAATAAAAGTGTGGCTCTGACACTTGCTGCTTGAGGTTCTTTGACAGTGTGGGTGTTTCCGGTGGCCTTCCCAACAGCCAGCCATTGAAAAAGCCACTTGTTTTGTCAGGTCACTAAGAAGGCTGATTTTTTTTTTTCTTATTAATAGTTTGTCATCTGGGGTATGAGAATGGGAGAAACTACTAAGTCGTGGATGCCAAGTTTGGGGAACAGAATAAAGAAACTCCATATTCTTTTAGACAGAGCAGAATATAACAATATTGAATTTTTGCAGAATTAGAGCCACAGATCCAGTCAGAAAATAGACATCCAGCTACTTCTTTCCCTTCTGTATTATGCCTCTGTGCTTTGAAACAGTTTTCTCCAGTTTTATAGGCAGTCCCTGCACACCCAAAGGCAGTGAAAGCATTCTGCCTGCTGGGCTTGGCCTCACTACAATTGTGAGGCCCACCAGGCCTGTCTCTGACTTTTCGTAGCTGCTGTCCACCTGCTCCCCTGAAGTTCATGTTACCTGCCTACCTCCTCCTTTCCTTCCTCCACTCAGGAAGATGACAAAAGTCATTTATCCTAAAATATTAGTGGCCTGTGATTTACATCTTCTGGAACATTTGTATTTTAAAAAGGAAACTAGAAAGTGAAAAAGGAAATTATAGGACAGTATGAAAGATTGTGTTAGGGAATCTGTTAACTGCAAGAAACAGATGCTCAAGCTGGCTTAGGTAAAAAAAAAAAAAAGTTTATTATTAAGAAACTGGAATTCACATGAAACTTATTGCAGATAGTACAGTATGGCCTCAAGAGAACTGAAAACTTCTCAAGTAGCTACCCTCCCCAACTCTTTCTTATTCTCTGGGGTTCTGTAGTCTCATTCTTCTGTCTGTGTCCACTTCCATTTTTTCTCTCAGCAGATGGTTTTCTTTACTCCATTATCAACACATGACCTCATCATGGCTACCCTCAAATGGTGGCTTCAGCACCTTATGACTATGTGGCTTTCAATTTCAAGCCCCAACACCAATTAACTAGAGTTTCTCTGACCTAGTTCCTAATTACTGAGAGCGAGGATCTGGCTTCATGCAGCCTATAGATGATTCCATTAGGGTCAGTTCACCACATCAGGTTCAATTAGCTCTGGTGCTGCCACTATATGGTCCGTTAATTTCTCTAAAAAGACAGCATGGTATGTCATACAGAATTTGATTCAGCTGCATGAGGCAGAATACCAGAAATAACAGCAGCTTAAAAAATAGAAATGCATTTCTTTCTCATCTAAAAGGTGAGGAGTCCTGGATTGGGATGGTGGCCTCTTAAACACAATCTTGGTATGTGGCTTCTGTCCTCAAAGTTACCTCATGATATGATATAGCTGCTGAAGCTCCAGTCATCACATCACTTTGGGTTGTAGGCTGGAAAGAGGCATGGAAGAAAAACTAACTCTCCCATTTCCTGCTGAGTCAGCTTCCTTTAAGCAGCCTTATCAACAGTCCCACAGAACACTTCCATTTATATCTTTCTCAGATCCTACTCACATAGTCACACCTAGCTGCAAGAAAGTCTGGGAAATGGGGTTTTTTTTTTAGCAAGACTCATTGCCACCCAGAATATGAGAATCCTGCCACCAAAAAAGAAGAAGGGTATTGCCATACAATGAGTCATAAGAAATACATATTTGGTCATTCATATGACCAAATATATATTTCCCAGGTGTATTTGGTCTTCATGCCCAGTTCCTGAAAACATTGCAGAGTCTTAAAGCTGAAACAGGTGTTTTTTCAGGTGATGAGAGACTTTTGGACCCCTACCCAAGGGCAGGGGCTGGAAGCTGAGTCAGCCAATGGCCAATAATTTAGTCAGTCATGACTATGCAACAAAGCCCTCACAAAACTCATGAGAAGAACTTACACACTCTTCTTGGTTGGATTTTCCTTCTTTGTTGGGGAGAGCTTCTCCACTTGGGGAACTAAATGCTTTCATGTGTACCCAGATGCCATGAGGATACAAGCCTTTTATTCGGTACCTTTCCTTTTGTTTCTCTTCATCTGGCTATTAACTCATATGGTACCCTTTACTAAACTGGTAAACGTGTTTTCCTGAGTTCTGTGAGCCACTCTAGCAAATTAATTGAACCTAAGGAGGACGTTGCAGGAACTTCTGATATGTAGCCAGAGGGTCAGAAGCACAGGTAACTGCCTGGGCTTGTGACAGGTGCCTGGAGTGTGGAGTGGAGGGCAGTGCTGTAGGTTGGAGCCCTTAACCTGGGAATCTGGTGCTGTCTCCAGGCAAATAGCATCAGAATTGAGTTGAATTCTCCAACACCCTGCTGCTGTTCTAGAATTGCTTGGTGTACTGTGTGGGAGGACTCCTTCCCACATACTTACACACATTGGAATCGGGTCCAGGAACCCGAATGGAGTTACACTATTATTACTGCTTTGTATAATATTGTTGTATGTAGGAAAACATAACCCTCACAGGTATTGAGAGACACTCGGAATCTCAACCACATTTGAGAAGGAAATATAAAACATCTCTAGTATGTTTTAAGTTTTCTTTTTCTCTAAAAAAGGTGTGTCCCTCTGGGAATTAAAAAATAAATAAAAGAGTCACTTTGAAAAAAAGTAAGGAAATATCTGGAAAAGAAAGATCAGTACTTAAGCCAGAGGAATAATTTCTGAACTGGAATTTCAGTAATAGATGGCGGTGTTTTAGAAGTGGGAGTAGAGATCTTGCCAGAGACCTTTGCCATGCCACGTGAAGATACAGAAGGCCCATCCAGTTTGTGGAGCAGTTTCATAGGTATGGATGTCCATTCCCTCCTTTACATGAAGCCAAAGTCGGTTTGCACGTCCATGCACACTTCTTGTTTCCATTTCATGTTGTCACTCACACTGGAGGAGCATGAAACTCAGCCCACTGAGATGCATTGGACTCTCACCACGATCACCCCCAAAGCAACTACCTAAGATCTCTTGCTAAAATGCAAAGCGAGTCTGTTCCTTTGCTCACTCTTTAAATCTTTCTCAAGCTCCCTGACCAAGGCAAGTTAACTCCCTCCATGGAGCCCCTTCCCTTATTTTCAGCCCCATCTTCTACTTCCTCCCTTTCCCCAGATCCAGCCTCCAAGGAGCTTCTGCTCCTTGGGATGTCCCCCAACCCCCCATACCTAGCAAACTCCTACTTTTTCTTCAATGCCCTGCTCAAAGCCACCTCCTTTGTGAAGCTTTCCTTGATTGCCTATAGGCACAGGCCTTTTTTCCCCTTTCTTTTGTGTTCCTGTGACCTTTTGTGTATCTGTCTCTGTCTGCCTATCTGTCTTCACCAGAGCATGAGCTTTTTCAGGGAAGAGACTGGCCTTTATTCTTTGTGCCTGAGTGCCAAGCGCATAGCCTGGTGTGAACCAGGTGCCCAGTGTAATGCAGTTGCAGGGCAGTAGAGTATAATGGTTATGAGCATGGCATTTGGTGCAACCCCACCTGAGTTTAAAGCCAGGCTCTGCTACTTTCTGTGACTTAACAGCTTCATGCCTCAGTTTCCCTACCTGTAAAGCGGGGGTAATGGTGCTTCCTACTCCCAAAATTTTTGTTGAAGTTCAAATGAGGGAACATATGCCAAGGGTGTGTCACTCATTATGTGTGTTATTACTATTATCTTTATTATTTCTGAATAAGGTGATAGTGCAGCAGGAAGGGCACTCTTAGTTCTGCTCCTCACCAGCTCAATTAGGCAAGACATTCTCTGAGAGATGCAGGCTGATATTACTTAAAAATATTTTGTGGCAGTGACACACTGGCATATTGACTTCCTGAAGAAACTTATGGAAGTTACCAAACACCAGCTCTTTGCTTAAATGATCCTCGCATATTTCCTCGGCCCTTGTCTATTTGCAGGGAGCACACTTAGCAAACCAGATGTTGGAAAAGGCTTGGCTAGAAAGGGTTAATTCCAGAGCCGTAGAAGGAAATGGGCTCTGGGGAAACAGAGGTTTCCAGGGGAGGAGGAGAATGAGGCCTCCCTGCATCCATCTGAGGTGCTGGGAAGCATTGCCGTGGTGATGCAGAGTGTGGGTCCACTTGGCATTTATGTGGGGATTTTTATTTTCTTCTGTTCTGATGAGGTTCAGTTAAAATATACTGTGGAGAGATGAGGCACAGAGAAAGGGAAACACCGTGCTCAGCCGGGGCGGAATGGGAAGTTACGGGAAACCCAGACTCTAGATCCCCCAGTTCATTCAGTAACAAACATTTATGAAGGCTGCTCTGTGCCACGCCTAATTCCAGGTATGGAGGACTCAGCAGAGAGCAATTCCAGGTATGGAGGACTCTGACCTAATAGGGACGGCAGGCAGTAAATGAAGGAAGCAAACACATGCCATAATTTACTGATTCTAAGATGCCCCTTCCCACCCCAACCCCATTTAAAAAACTCTGAAGTCAGAGGGATACATCTCACAATTTGAGGTGTGTCTTGAGAACATTTTTTCTTTCATAATGATACATAAAATAATGTTACACCTTACAAGTGATGACACCTGAGATTTAATAAAATATAATAATAATTCAGGTGATGGTATCCTTGTCCTCCTTGATACTGATTTATTTTCTTTCCAAGCAAGTTACTATAGAAATCTGAAGACTGGAATGGACAGTGATTTCTGTGAGTGATCTATTCCTGGGACTTCTTCAGGAATACTCAGCTCTGTCACTTATTTCTGTGAATCCACTTTCCTTTGAAACCAACAAGGATCCTGCCTGTTATCAGTAAGGAATTTGCTTGGCTGCAAATGAGAGTAAATCTAACCAAGAATGACTTATACTAACTTGCATAACCCTGAGGCTAGTGCAGGTATTCAAATAAGTCATCAGGCACCCAGACTTCTATCATTTTGCTCTATCATCCTCAGCTGATGACTTCAGTCCTCATGGTCACAAAATGGCTGCTACACTTGCTAGCCTTGTGTGCAGGAAGAAGGAGGAAGCACAAAGCACTCATCTATTCTTTTTCTCTTTTTTTCAAGTCAGGA